GAGCAATGGAACAGTGCTGGCGGCGCCAGCTTCTATTATATTATATAGGGCGGCAGAAATAAGAAGGGAAAAGACTCTTGTGCCCCTGCTGTAAGTGAGTACAATAACAGAAATAACAGAAAATAAAAAAATGCTTTAACTAGCCAAACAGACCCTAACACAAATAACTAAATTATTTCAACAAATAGCATATCCAATGCCTTGTCTAGATGTGCTCTTGCCATATCCAGGTAACATGGTGAAACTCCTTGTGATATACTCAGAAACAAGTGTAAGATATTAGACAATTGAATGGAGATTCTATGTAGTGTGGTATTGTCATGACCTACTTTATTGTTCTTATAAACAATGCAATTATTTTTTTTTTTAGATTTTTTTCTTAACCTGGAAATCTTGTGTTTTTTTTTTTCAATAATATAGTGTGATTGCACATGCAGACCACCAGAGTCTACAAGGAAAGGGATCATGCTGAAGTCGAATTCATTGTAAGCTGTTTTCTTGTAAACTGATCCATAACGGATATACTTATTGGTATTTGTGACAAAGTTATTCACTTGCTTTTTTGTGGTAATGGTGTTATTTGATCTCTATTCAACTATAATCTTCTCAATTTAGGTTGGACCAATACCTGTCGATGATGGAATTGGGAAAGAGATTGCAACTCAAATCACAACAACCATGAATTCAAATAAAACATTTTATACAGATTCTAATGGACGTGACTTTATTAAAAGGGTATGTTGTTAGCATTGCAAAATTTTGTACTCTTTTACCTCTATCCAGTGATTATGGTTATGGCATAGTTCTTCAATTTGGTTGCAAGATGAAAATATTGATTAGTTAATTTCTAGAACCACTTATAGTGTAGTTCTCTTGAAAGGAGAAATATACTATGGGAAACAAATTAGTCTTCTAGTTTAAGGTGTGTCAAGGAGTAAATTGATGCTTGAATTACACTACCTAATTTTATGTATATACATTGATTACATTCTTATTTATATCAAATTTAAATAGGTATTTTGGTTTGCAGATTCATGATTATAGGACAGACTGGGAACTTCAAGTGGATCAACCTGTTGCTGGAAATTATTACCCAGTATGTTTCCTTTATAAGTGGAACATTTGCATATTTTCCTTCATATTGATGCTACAGTTGTCAGTATGCCTACTTTATATGAAAAATATTTGCCTATATTGGATGTCCTTATTTTCTTAACCTTCTTAAATTATATGCAAATTCTATGGTCCAGAAGCATGTTTCACAGTACGGGTAATGCAAAGTTTGAGGTTGTAAATGTTGCACTTTTATGCCATAAAGGTTGTACCCCATTTTTAAAAGATTTTCAGCTAGGTGTATAATGGTCTAGGGTGCAACATTTACGGTGAATATAGCCCTATAGTGTTTTTGTGGTGCCAGTACCATGAAGCATGCTTTGTACCATATAAATTCTCTGATTTATATGGTACCATGATAGGCAATATGTTTATATGGTATATGATTTATATGTTTGTACCATACGCTGAATATATGCTTTGTACCCATGTTTATAACCAGTCAATATGTTGAAATGAAACATGATAGGCATGTGGATAAATTTAGTGCATATGGTTATCAATTTTCTTTGTCACTCTGATAGCAGATGATATTTCAAAAATCAAGAGAGAGAGAGAGAGAGAGATGGTTACCATAAGTTATTAGCAAAGATGTTGTAAGTTTATGTAAACATTATTTCTTTATCCGCACATAGCAAACTTTTTTTCTTTTGCTTTCAGATTAATCTTGGAATTTATATAGAAGATAACCAGACAGAACTATCAGTTTTGGTAGACCGATCTGTGGGAGGATCCAGCATAGTTGATGGACAAATAGAACTGATGCTCCATAGGTTTGTTCTGCCATCTCCAATGCTTGAACTTCTTGATGACATATTATTATTGTATTATGTTCTAATGCATAAGATTCATAACGATCAATTTCTGCATGCATCATATGTTATCAGTTGTGTGATCTTAATTTCTCCTTGTTGAATAGGAGGTTAATTCATGATGATTCTCGAGGTGTTGGAGAGGTATTAGATGAAAAAGTGTGTGTACTAAATGAATGCACAGGATTAACGGTAAGCACATCCTAATAAACTCTAACAAGCATGAAAAAGAGAGCTTGTTCATGACTTTGTTATCACTTCTCTGACCAATGAAAAAGAACTTTATTGGATAAATAATGTAATGATAGGCATGAAAAAGTGAGCTTGTTCATGACTTTGTTCTCACTTCTAAATGAATGCTCAGGATTAATGGTAAGCATATCCTAATAAACTCTAACAAACATGAAAAAGAAAGCTTGTTCATGACTTTGTTCTCACTTCTCTGACTGATGAAAAAGAACTTTGATGGATTAGTAATGTGATGATAAGCATGAAAAATAAAAGAACAAGATCACTATCTCATTCTGGTCAAATATAACTCTTGAATCCACAAGAAAATTGAGAAAATTCTCAGAGAAGTAACTTAAACTTCATTGAATCACAAAATCTTTGTAGTGCCTCCATAACAACCATTTACAAGAAATAAATTCCTAACTTGAGCTAAGAAATCCTAATGAAAATAGAATTTCTAGACTAAATCTTGTTATTAATTGATACCTGGTCAGTGGGAGGAAAGAAACAATAGGATCTTCAAAGGTAGTTGTAGATCCAAGGATGAGGTTGTGGAAGGAATAACTACTAAGGTTATCCATTGGTTGAAATCCTGTGATCTTTTTAAGGATTTCKCARYTGAAGACATYTATWRAAGTTGGGGTATTGTGGCATCTACTACTACTTCCAAAGCTATGATACAGGAAGTTTGGTCCCCACCGGCAAAACAAAGGGTGAAACTGAACTTTGATGGAAGCTCTATAGGTAATCC